TTGTCCAGACTTAAATTTATTGCCAAGGCAGTCAAGTGTTTTCATCTCTCAATTCCCCAGTGCAATTTTTCGCCCCTCTGGCATGATTTCATCAAAGTGAGAACAATAATGCCACATAATAATATGCAAATTGATTTGTTAGTTTTACTCCTTTCTTTTTTGTTTGCTCACCCAAAGCCGCTTAGCAAATTGAATGCACACTGTGAGTTTTTGCAATTGATAAGAGCTGCCAAATAATAAAGCAGATTGTGCAGCACCAGCAAACAATGGCAATCATAACTATATCAGCAGAAGCTTGTAGGACTCACAGGGTGCGAACATTCAGGATAACAATAAATCATATTCGACTCGCACATCCGTATCAAATTGATTTATCTGCTTGACAAAGATAAATCGAATTAAAATAAAATCCAAAGAAACAAAGCTAAGCGCGGTGTGTTTGAACTCAGGGATTCCCTATAATTATAGTTTAAACTTTTAATTTATATGTAAGCTGATTATTGATATAAAAATGATATATTTAATATTTTAATTAAGTACTCAATACTTTTTTTACCAGTACAGATTACACATTTATTTAATAGGAACATAAATTCTGTATAAAATTTTAAATTTTAATTATTTGTTACATAATTTACTTCAATCCGAATACTCTCAAATTATATTTAAATACTAAGAAACCTCTCAACGATGTCATGGTTTGTATCATAAAATATTATAAATCAATGTATGTGTGGCCAAAAATCGGATTTGTTCAAAAATAGTGTAAATGAAACATTTATTGTTTAATAGAACAAAATTCAATACGAGTAAGTTGATTAAGTAAGCGTTTTTGTTTGACTCAAATGAATTGGCAATATTACATTGACTTTGTGGTGTGGCCTAGGGTTTATCACAAGCAAAAATATGAAAACAAAATTGTTCAAAATCAGCATGAACTTTCATTTTCATTTTTGGTTTTCTGGTCATGAGCTTTTGTTTGTATACATCTAATAAAATGTACAAATATTAATATATGCGATAAATTGCAACATTTTATATTTGGAAAAAAGCATATGGCAATATTGTGGCGAGTTTACATATTATTTTCATGCAGAAGAATAAAAATAGCGTATGAGCAACAGAAAAAATAGATTTAATGTTATTTATGCTGGCTTCTACTAACTTTCTGCTAGAATATGTAAATTTGGTAGTAAACAAAGGCAAAAATTGCATATTTTAAAAATGAAAATGTATGCCACATTTATTGGTATATTTTTAAGGGTGTTATTCTCGACTGTGAGGGAAAACTTTAAATGCATTTGTCATAATTTTAACCCAAACTGCTGAAATCAAAAGTTTTAATTAGCAAACCATTAGTTAATTAAGTATGATCGTTGCCAAATTCTCTAATGTCTGTCTTCATTATTCTCACAATTATGCCAATTAGAATGTCAATTATTATCACTAAATTGATTGCCATAGAAAATCAAACTCTCAATTGTGTGCTTGTGTGTACTATATATATTTGAGCTGCCCAAGGCCAAATTCTATTGAATTCTATTATGTATTTTGATAACATAGTCAAGTTGTTTAAAGTGCACATAAAAAAAATAGTTCTTCTATTTTATTATAAAATGAAACTCTCTATTTAGTTGTAAAATTAAACTCTCTCTTAAGTAACATAACATAGCCATAAAAGCGATTTTGAAACCCTAAGAAATTGATTTAATATTTGTATAATATTATTTTCTTAAATTCTTACTACTTAAGACATTATTGTTCTCAGCCCATTTGGAGTTGAGCCAAAGCTGAAAATCAAAGGGCACGCATTGTTAGCCAGAAAACTCCAATCTGGACCCAATTAAACACGGACTTTGGGGGCACTTGTCGAAGTCGGACAGTGAAAGTGGCCAAGGAGAAAGGGGTAGGTAATTGAATAGTTGTCGCAACAATAGTGCCAAGTTGAACGGAACCAAGTTGGTTCCATAAATCGCATACAAATAGCCACATGGGAGCGTTTGTATCGTTCTCAAACAAAGCCACAAAAGCAATGGCAAACAAAAACAGGAAGCGAGCTAATTACATTCCCCGAATGTGTGTTTTTCTGTGGGTGGTGAATGGGGTCATGGGATAGAAAACAATTTGTTGGCTAAATTATCTGGTAAATTAAGCAATTTCAATTCAACAAACGCAACCAAAGATGCTCTCACTTCTGAAACCTGAAACCTTCAAATTCTCGACGAATTTGCCCCAAAATCTTTTTTCTTAACTCAGATACACAGGCAGAGGCAGAGTGCTTATGTGTGCGTGAGGTGCGTCAAGTGCTGCACAAATCGGTTGCTAAGTAGCTCATAATGGCCACGCTTGCCCCAAAACGCTTCCTTTGGGAGGCCATCCTTAAAGTCTTTTTCCCCGCTCCTTAAAAGTGTGTGTATGTCCGTCTTTGTTTGAAGTTGTATGTCTCTTGAATATATAGTATACCCTAAATAATAAAGGTATCCAAATAATTAATATAATTTTAGCTTTTTTTCATTGTAATCAAATAATATTAAAAATATCTTGAGTAAACATTTTTAAATTATTTATCTAAAGCTTATTAAAAAAAAGGTTATTTTTAAACTAGATTTTAAAAGAGGACTTAAAGAATTACATTTTTAAAAAAGGCCCTTAAAATGCTTTTTAAGGCTAGAGTAAAATTAAAAAGGAATGTCCTAAAGAAGACAAAATTAAAAGATAATTTGTTATCAAACTTTTAAAGTTTGACCTTAAAAATTGCATTTAAAAAAACTCTTTAAACATGTTTACATTAAAGATTAAACTATATATATGTTTCTTTTTAATTGGTTTTACTTCTGTTGTTATTTTAGCTCATGAACGGGCCTTAAAAAAAGGGTTAAAGGTTACCAAATGCGACGCATACAAATGCTGGCTCAAAACTATTGCACTTGTATTTGTCGTACGTGTGTACAGGTGAATGGTGGTTAGTATGTGTGCGTGTGAGAACTTTTGATAAATGCAGATTTTATTGTAATTCGATATCAATTTGGGTGTGTGTGCAGAGGCAGCCTGTGTCCCAACCGATTGCCGGTTGGGCAATCCTCCAATATTGATATTGATTCACAATTTAATGGCAAACATTTAAACTGCCCAAAAGAGCGTATTAAAGTGAAATCAAAAAAAAAAGGCAAACAGCTTACAGCCAAGATCCATTTCCTCAACCACTCCACTTCACTTTTGCAGCCAAATGCCGGGCCACATTAATCAGACAACTACGACGGGCAAATTACAACAGTTTTGTTTCGAAAATGTTGCCATTTAATTTAATGAGACATCATTATGCCAAAACTTTAATCTCATCATCAGAGGTGCCAGTAAAAGCAGCGGCAGGGTACAAAAAAAATGTAATTATTGAGACAGCGCTTTTTTTGGTTGCAGACAGCAGGTGCACACAAAAAAATCACCTACTTAAAAGCAAACATTACAAACTAATGCAATTAAAGACAGCAGATGCTCAGGGAAATAGTTACTTGGCAGATAAAATACATGTCAATATTAGAATATCACATTTTCCTAAATAACAAATTTGTTTAAAATAATAATCTGATAGGCACTTTAATTATTAAAGAATATTAAAATCCAAACAAATATTTTGTTGGGAAGCTCATCTATATTAATGTTGCTTTTTTTCAAAATTGTTATTAAAACAATTAAAATTTTGACATTACTATGAGCAATAGCCTGTAATTGGAGTACACATTATATTTTATTCAAGTGTGAAAGTCAAGGGGAGGTGGGCGTGTGGGTGATGTTGTTAATGATGTTTGGCAACTTCAACTCCGGCCTGCACACACACACATGACCGCAACCACACATACACATGCACAGGCACACCAATACCCTCACGAGGAGGACACCTTCAGCATCCAATTAGCGGCAAAACGAGTTTCAGGATCTCACTCAAACATACGTGTGCCCCATCCATATATCCATCCGCCATCCCTTTCTAACAAGCACTCGAATCGCTCTTTTTTTTCACACGGCAAACGCAACTCACATATGTTTCGTGTGTTTGTGGTAGTTTTTCCCACACATCCCCCCACACACACACATTCGCCTTTGTACAGCAGCCAACAAACAAACAAACAACAACAAACAAGAAGCGAGCAAAAAAATGAGAAATGGCAACACTTTAATTTTGAACGGCGTTTCGCCCACAAAAACTCCCACACCTCCACCTTTCTAGAATTCTGCTACCTGCCCTTTTTCAAATGCGAATTTTTTAGCAGAGATTATTTTTGTTTGCACTCTTCACTTAGAGAAAATTTGAGTACAAATTGGCATAGAAGCTACGATATGAACTAAATCTAAATTTCTCTGCCAGAAATAAACAACAAAATTGTATTGCTTTCAATATTACTGATAATTATACTTCTTTGGGCGTTTAACAAAACAATAAATAAAAGGGAATAAGACTCTGCTTCTGTTTAATAGGAAATTATAATGAATATAAATTTGGTATATAATTTAACATTTTTAAATTTATCTGTATATTATATCGAAAAATTCTTTATTATTTTTAAAGACCTGTGTTAAAACTTTTTCTTTCATGTTTCAAAAACAGAAAAGAGCCTAAAAACGTATAAACAAATATAAGATAAAATATTTATTATTTTAAAAGAATTCGTAGAACTCATATAATTAATTATAATGGTCATTAAAAAAGCTCTATGAGTTCCAAATAAATTTGGTTTTACCTATATACTATACATATATGTGTATATTTTTATTTTTACTTATATTTATATATGCCAGCTAAGTTTTTGTTAAGCTGATAAGACAGGGAACCGATGATAACCCCAGAAACGACAAAGTACTGAAAAGATATTTTTTTTCAATAATTTTGTGAATAATTTTGCAATTGTTTTCTCGATTTGGTAGAATTAATAAAACTTTCTGTTGCCAAAAAAAAAAACTGAAAATAAAACTTCTTCCATATAAATAAAAAGATATTTCATGTCTTCTTTTGTTGAATATTGATTTAATGAGGTAAAATATGTTGGATCATTAATATTTCATTCTCATTATGTATGTTAATTGGTAATCAATCCAGAATCGCAATTCGGCCACATCCGTGAAGAGAGTAAAATTTGTGTTAGTGGGCTCGCGCTTTCCCCAGTTGACGATGCCAACCTGTAGGAACTGATTGTCTACAATGCAAATCAGGGGAGCACCGCCATCGCCAGTGGAGTCCCTGCCCTGCAAGCCAGTGCCACAAATTTGTTGGCTGGGCACTTGACGCTTTAATTGCGCGGAGCATTGAGCTTTGCCTAATATACCGATATCGGTTCTTTTGATCGCAGTGGGATAGTCCTCAGAGTCCCAGTTCTCTTTTCCCCAGCCGATGAAGAAGCAGCGCCCTCCATCAATTGAATGTTCCAATGTGCGCAGGCATATCCTTTCAACGTTGATACTCTTATCGAATGTGGTTTTCAGAACAAGCAAAGCCATGTTGTTTGCTGCGTTGTGCTTATTATATCCTTCGTGTCGTATTATCCGTGAGACCTGAATGTCTTGATGTGGGCAATCATCCGTCGTTGAGACATTGTATTCGCCACCGCGCACCACCAGATCATTTTCGGCAATATCCTCTAGTATGTGAGCGGCAGTTAAGACCAATTTTCCTGAGATCAAAGATCCCGCTCCTATGTAGACTTTTAGTCCATCGCTCTGATCAAGTAGCGCAACCAACCAGGGATATTGACCTGGAAAACTTTGGTATGGTTTGTAGTTCCTTGCGCTGCATTTCTCCTATTAGCGAATTTATTTATTATGAATTAATACGTTAATATTTTGTATTTTTAGATTTACCTGATTAGTTTCCGATTGTTGACCATTCGCAAAGCTGAACAGCAGCACGAGAAATATGAAATATAAAGTCATTGCTTGACTAGGTTTCAGAGCAGAATGATTTCGAGCGCGTTCAGAAATACTTTGAGAGATCAGAGATGAGCTTATCAGTGAAATTATTCAAACTTCTTGAAATGCCTCTTTCTCTCTCGAAATTGTTATCAATGTTCTATGCGGGTAAGTTGAATTTAATTATATATGATTCATTGTTCTAGTGAAATTATTCATAAAATGACTTAATGGTGATCTAAAATTCAGTTGAGAGCATATTTTGTTTTCTTTTCAAGTATTTTAAGTTAATTCAAAATAGATTTATTTCACGAAGCTTATTAAAAAAAAAACATAAAAAAACATAAAAACTCATTCTTGAAGTCACCTGGTTTCATTTCTCTCAGTGACCATTTTTTTTCCGCCTAAGTGTAACTTTTGCATAATACTCGTAGTTGAATGAAAAAAGAGAAACAAAACGAAAACTAGTTGCATAGTGCATATGTGCGAGGAGTCAACAAGCGAATGGTTGTCGGGATTCAGCAGATTCCAATTAAGTTTTAAATTTTTAGCCGACCAGCTTATGAATGATGGCGTTCATTTCAATGGCAGCTCACTTGGCAAATGCCCAAAGATGTTTGCCTTTCCCTTTCTTTCGGCAAAATGTGCTAATCATTTTCTTTGGCAACGAAATAGCCGAAATGGTGAACACAAGAAACAAGCTCCTTGGTCCCTTGAAATTTCCCCCCATTTTCCACGGCACCTTTCAAGGACTTTTTCCGCATGCATTCCCAAGTAGTTGAACATGGAAGTGCCATTATGGGAAGAAATAAACAAGAAATGGAACAACAAAATATTTCTTGAAGAATTGAAAATGCCCTTTGTCTTTAATTAGAATGCTAAAAAAGAGAGAATGACAAATACTTCTGTGTATTGATTTTTGCAGATAAATAACCTAACTTCATTCTGCATATACTCTGCTATACTAAAAATAGGTTAAAAGCTAATGTTTCTGATTTATTTTATTTTTGCTTAAACGTAAAAGTGTATTTTAAACTCAAAACAATCTGTTTTATATAAAAATATCTTGAAAATTCTGAAGTAACAATATCTTAATATATACTTAAGTATCTTATAGATATCAAAAAGTCTTGATAGAGTTAAATATCTTATAGATATGAAAATCTCTTGAAGATATGTAGTACTCACAGGACACAACATATCCGAACCATTTTAAAAGTTTCTATTGCCATTTTTGAAATTGAAAACAAGTTGACACCCCCAAATAAGAGACCGCCAAAGAGCTCCAAAGCTCCCATTGACAGCTGAATGTTCTTGAAGCTCCAGAGGGCGCCACACACTATTTGAACCGCCTGATGCCAAGCAAAAACAAAAAGCATACCGAATGCTCAAGATGAATAGAAAATAAACAACAATACGCATGTATGACCTTCGCACAAGGTGACTGGGGCACAGAGAGAGCACCAGAGAGGGAGACATAGAGAGTGAGAGTAGAGGAGAGTGGAGCACAGTGCATCAGGAAGAGCAAAAGAGATGGAGGAATGCAGCGGAGCAGTGAGAGAGCTGATAAGAACTTTTCTTGTTTTTTTTTTAAAGAGTCAGCAACGCACAGTGCAACGATTTCTTATAGCATTCGGCAAAAAAAATTGATCTTTAAATACAAAATGTCAAAATTTTACTTAAAACTATAAATATATTTGAAATAGGCAATCTAAAGTTACAATTCTATATAGAGCTGTCTAAGTCATAATTATTATGCTATTATTATTATGTATTACAAAATCCTATGAGTAAGAAATTTTACGAGTTATATGGTGGTTCGATTATGGTTTTGGTATGCTTTTTATCATAAAAAAAGAAAACAATAACCAAAAAAAGGCGGGTTTATTTGTGTAATATTTTTTTATTTTCTTTAAAAAGTGGATTTTATAGATAACGATCCACTGTGCGCGTCGGCAGTTGTTTACAAAAAAGAGCGGCGAAAGCTCTCGCGAAAAAAGCTTTGGGAAGTATAACGAAAGTATAAAGTGAGAATCGCTCCGGATTTCGCTGTGGAACGGTCGTCGTCGTCTGTCGTCTTTTGAGTTCAGGTCTGGGTTGTGGTTGTGTCTATAGTCTCCGTCTCCTATTCGCTGCCGCACACGCAAACGGGTCTCCGCCACACACGCGCACCCACGCAACGGATTCAGAATCAGTAAACTATATAGAACTGCTCAGAGGGATATAACTAGGACACCATGTCGAAGCCCCAATCGGACGCCGATCGGCGCAAGCAGATCTCGGTGCGCGGGATCGCCGAGGTGGGCAATGTCACCGAGGTGAAGAAGAACTTCAATCGGCACCTGCACTACACCCTGGTCAAGGATCGCAATGTGTCCACTCTGAGGGACTACTACTTCGCCTTGGCCAACACCGTCAAGGACAACATGGTCGGCCGTTGGATTCGCACACAGCAGCATTACTATGAGAAGGATCCCAAGGTGAGTTTCGTTGTCCAGGTCACTCAGTTATCGATTTTGCTCCATGGAAATTTCCAAAAAAAAAAATGAGTAGGCTACCTAACCTTACTTTTATACAGTTTCTGGAGCTCCTATGCCTACATTTTTCCCTTAAGTAGGCCTCCAAAATAGTTTAAATATTTCCTTTATAAATTTTTTTTCTACATTTTTTTTTGGCTATTACGACATTTTTTCGGCCTGCTCCATTCTCTTTCGGTTCGCAGCTGATTTATTCCTCGATGCGCTTTGGCCAACCAATTTACAGTAAACCCTCTATCAAGTGAATTATGTCAATTTTATGCACTTATATTCATTACAATTTATTTACATTATTTTATTGCATTAGTTTTGCGATATATTAAGTGATGTTTTTTTCTTATAAGAAAGGCTTTCTTTCTATTATTTTTTTTTAAAATTGAATACTCTGTTATTGCTTTTTCAAAATTATTCAATTGAAATAGAAAGAGGTGTATATATTAAGCAAACACTGTATTTCTAAAATTTTTGCTTTTACTGCATTTCCCACGCTTTCGTTGTTTTGCTATATAATTGTTTCGTTTTATTTAATTATCCGCGAAATGACCAAAAAGAAAAGATGCAATTGGGATCAATGCCAAGAATTGCGCCAAAAAAAAGGTGTGACACTTTCACTGCAACAAATTGCAAAGGTGCAACGCAAAAAGCCGGCGAATTTTTCAACCACCACCTCTTGTTTTTCGCTCCCATTTAAGATTTCCCCCCGCCAGCTGACTAAGCAACAAAAGCTTATAAATAGCTCTTCACATTGCCGCTGTCGCTGAGCTACTTCTATGTCTATGCAAACATATTTATGAGTTTTTGAAAAATAAAATTCCCGCGGGCCTTGGCTCACTAATTTTCTCGACGATTACCCTAGAAAATGCAACTGAAGTAATGCAAGTGGGCACTGAAATTGCCCCCTTTTTGCATACGTATCCGTCAGATACACAATATACATGTATATCTATTTAAGCACGTGCCCGAAGCGTGAGCTTTTCATTTGCAATTTTCGCAGCATCGGTAGCAAAACATTTTTGTCCTTGCTGAATGTCAGCTTAAATCACTTTCAATTTCTGTCCATAAGCCCCTCAAATGTATCTATTAATTTTCCATTGACTCGACCGCTAGAAGTTCAAGCTATATACAATTTTCGGGTGATAAATATTTTCAATTTAACTAATTTGGTGAAACTGCCGTCACAGCGACAAACATTTTTCAAGGTCAATCAAAGGTTATTAACAACAACCAACTGACAAAAATATCAAAGAAAATTTCCCCCGTTTTTATTTTATTTTTTTTTTCCCAGTCTCTCTGGGTTTTTATTTTGGCTACAATTTCGTTTGCGTTCATACGTATACATATATATTTGATATATATATATTTTCTTTTCGTTCAGGTTGTGGAACTTTTATAGGCTGTATTTTGTTTAGTTGTCCCCTTACATGCAATTAGCTCACGCAACCAGCTGAATAGCGAGGCAAATGTAGATACTTAAACAGCTGTTCTTATGCGTAGCCCAGTACTTGGAGTTAATTGAAGGACTACTTGGCGTCTATTGGACTGTCTGTAGCAATTTATGCAAATTGAAGAAAGTTCATGCGGGGTGGGATAGCTACACAAAAGAGTTATTTATTTTCCTGTAGTTTTCCACAAGTCAGGCTGACCAAATGGAACATATATGGCTCCACTTATCACCCACATGAAAGCCCAATTAAAAGAGTTTAGCTATCAGGGATCAATGAATGTTCAATGCCAGGGCAGCAAATGTATCGCATTTCCAACTTCCTATGCACATCTGTTTATTTGTCTTTTTATTGCACATAGGTGAAAAATAATAAACAACAAATGCAAACAAATATCGGTCGTTTGTTGATGATGCATTCTTTATCAAAGCCACAAAAAAAACATATGTCTGGGATCTAATTCAACTTTAGACCTGGCCAGAACGGTTTTCGTTAGCCCCTACACAACCCGAACAGCTGTTAAAAGAATATAACCACCGGCAGTTGAATGACTTTGAAAGCTTTTTATGGCTCAAAAAGATTACTCATGGTTTGTTGTGGACCTCAGCATTTTCGATTAGATAAGCTAAGTAGGTTATTAGCATATTTTTTTTGGGTGCAGAGGAAAGGTCATGCTTAGAATCGGCTTTAGTAATTCGGTAATCCATATTTGATAATCTTGATTTTTTTTGCATTCTTTATCAGTAATAAAATAACTGACAAATCTTTAAAGTTTCAAAACTTCATGCAATGATTACGTCGATCTTACATAATAATCTTAGCAACGTTAAGTTTTTCGAAACCATATCCATTGGCTAATTTCTGATTATAAAACGAAGTAAATTACATTACCCTTAATCTAATCACCTGTAAAGTTCATGGTATGTTGTTACCATATTTCTTTATCAACAATAACTTTCAAAGTAGATTAAGGTTGGTCACATATTTTATTAGCTAATTTCTGATCATATCATTTCATATTTATAAATACATGTTAAAAACGATATAACAAAACTAATGTAAACACCTTTA